TATTATGCAGGCCTCATGATAATAAAAGTCATCACATATTCGGTCAGGAGAAAATGGAACTTCACATAAGATTTGGTGACGTGACGGGCGTCAGCTTTGTCATAGTCCTTGGTGTGTCCTCTGAAGGCTAACAACCATGGAAATTCTCTCTACAGATTTTCATTTCACAAACCTTCTTAATTCTGTGAGCCGGTTACTTACTACCTCTGCATCATCTATCCATCCTCAGTTCTGCATATTCGGTCAGGAGAAAATGGAACTTCACATAAGATTTGGTGACGTGACGGGCGTCAGCTTTGTCATAGTCCTTGGTGTGTCCTCTGAAGGCTAACAACCATGGAAATTCTCTCTACAGATTTTCATTTCACAAACCTTCTTAATTCTGTGAGCCGGTTACTTACTACCTCTGCATCATCTATCCATCCTCAGTTCTGTTAAGGAGATACTTAATCTTCCTAATATATTTAAAAATAAGCACCTTTTAACCCACCACCAAATCAGGCTTACCGTATGGATCTTAATACCATGCTAAAGATTGGGCAAATTTTAGAATAACAAATTCACAAAGAAATCAAATAAATTTGTGTGCTAATTCAAAGATAAGCAAATCAAATAAATTTGCTAATTCAAAGATAATCAATTAAATGATGATTTAATATGTCTTACATTATTAGTTTATTATTAGGGTAAAGAAAATACAATTACAATTCTGATATAGACAAAAATTACTACTTCAGTAGCTTAATATAAACACAGGTAGAATTTTGGAGCATTATTCCTTGACGAGGCTGAGGCATCAGCTTGCTAAGGGCCAAGAGAGGGCAGGTCCTTGAGTCTGGAGTCCCACTGGGCCCCGACGTCATCTCCAAGTACCTGGGAAGGCTGGATCTGCACCAAGAAGCTCCTGTTTGAACACGAAAAGTCTATTCTGGAGGAGGTCGGGCCGGCCCCTGATCGGTGGCTGTACAGCGCTGGTCTGTCGCATGCCTCCAGTGCACCAGGAGCCGGCCCGGGCTAGCGGCCAGGCCTGTTGAGGGTGCAGACGGGGCAGGCATGAGGTCAGGAGGCCCCCTGGGCCCTGAGGTCACCTCACAGTCCTAGAAGAGCGGGCGGGAGGAAGACTGGTACCTGTACGGCTCTGGTCTGTCTGTGGCAAGGAGCGGCTGATGTTGGAACCTGAGACGAGGTCTGGCGGGGAGGAGGTCTGGTCTGCAGGGCTACGAGAGCCTCCAGCTGGCCTGTGGGCGGCCACTCCAGCGCCTGGAGATGAGACCTGGGCTGTGGCAGTCGAGGCGGGGTGCAGCACACACCCCAGAAGTTCGAAAGCTGGACCCAGGCTGTCTGCAGCCCTGAGAGTGGCTGGCCGAGGTGTCAGTTGGGCTCCCGGGCCCTGGAGAGGCGGCCTGGGCTCCCACAGATGGCTCCGGGGAGGCTGGTCTGTCCTGTGCCTCATAAGGACCAGGGGCCGCCAATGTTAAAGAACAGGTTCCCTAGAGGCGGGGCCTGTCTGGTGGGCGTTCCCCAAAGGCGGGGGCTGTCTTGTGGGCGTCCCCTAAAGGCGGGGGCTGTCTTGTGGGCGTTCCCCCAAGGTGGGGCCTGTCTGGTGGGCGTTACCTAAAGGGGGGCTGTGTGGTGGGCGTCCCCTAAAGGCGGGGGCTGTCTTGTGGGCGTTCCCCCAAGGTGGGGGCTATCTGGTGGACGTTCTCTAAAGGCGGGGCCTGTCCGGTGGACGTTCCCTGGGACGGGCTGGGGCTTGAGCCGGTCCTTTGCGCTCTGCGGCCATGGCGGACGGCGGTTCCCCGCGGGCCCGCGCGCTCCTGCAGCAGTGCGTGCACGCGCGCCTCCAGGTGCGCCCGCCGGACGGGGACGCGGCAGCGCAGTGGGTACAGGTAACGCGGCCTCTGCTTCTTCCCGCAGTCCGGGGCTCTCGAGCCTGCTCTCCGTGCGCCCCGGGCGGGCGGCCTGGTCGCCTCTTCCACGGGCTGCTCGCGGCCTACGCCCCCCTCGCTCTTGTAGCCCGGGCTGGCCACGAACCCGGGGTGACCCTCGGACCTCAGCCTGAGCGGGGGAACAGCCCCCAGTGTGCGCCGGCTGTGCCGGTGCTAATTGGGAAATATTCGGTAAACTGAACTATTGCGGCGTCCTCGCCTCTCTCCTTTTCCCGAATTCCTTTTCTTTGTTCTCTACTTAGGTCCTTTTGTGGAGGTTTGGAGATTTGTTGATATCCGAAGAATCCCTTATTTGGGTTGCTGCCTTCTGGCTCTGTCAATTCCAAACTCTCAATCATTTTAGATTTTCCATCCTGTATCTTTTCAGTGTATTTCACACCACATTTCCTGATGACAAATCACTTATTTGATTGCAGCCTTTCAAACTAGCACTTTGTGTTTATAAACTTTAAAAGCTACTTTCAAAGGCTTTTCCTCCCACACATTAAAGAGCTGACAAGTCATTAGACGATGAGTGTATAAATTCTTTTTCTCACACATCCTTGTCTCTGTTCTGTCATCAAAGTTACTTTTTAGAAACGGCTGTTTGTTTGAAAGTTACTTTGCTGCTGCTGAGTTTCATTCATTTAGAACTTTGCAGAGAACTGAACATTCCTAAGGATCATCTGTACTTTGCAGTGCATTTCTAATGTTTTAAACCAAAGAACCTACAGGGGAAATTATTTGGACTTCAAGAGAAGGATTTTTAGATCACAAGTTAAGATCTAATGTTGAAATAAAATAAAACATTGAGATGGTAATACTGTGAGTGTGGGATTATTTCTGGGAATATTAGGTACTTGTGACATCGTGAGTGCCAGCTGTTACTATGTGGGAGGTTTGGGCTCATGCTCAAAATGCTGTTGGTAGAGAAGCCTGTAGCAGCGGTCCATGTATCTGTGACTCCTTGCCAGCCCCTCATCAGAAGTGTAGACATCCTTGCCTGCTGTTCCAGAAGCACAATTGCCCTTTAAAAAAGGACTCCTAGCAGGGCGTGGTGGCAGCACCGCCTTTAATCTCAGCGCTAGGGAGGCAGGCGGATCTCTGTGAGTTCAAGGCCAGCCTGGTCTACATAGTGAGTTCCAGGACAGCTGGGGCTGCAGGGAGACCCTGTCTCAAAAAGACCAATAAATAATAAATAAATTAATAAATTAATAAATAAATACTCCTGTGGCCCGCACCTTTAATATCGGCACTCAGGAGGCAGAGGCAGGTAGGTCTCCATGAGATGGAGGCCAGCCTGGTCTACACAGCAAGTTCTAGGCCAGCTGGGGGTACAGGGAGACCCTGTCTCAAAAACACAAACAAAAACATATATAAATGTCTCCCGGGCTAGAGAGATGGCTCAGCAGCTAAGGGCTCATACTGCTCTTGGGGAGGATCTGAGTTTGGTTCTCCACACCCACATAGGAGGCTCACAACCACCTGTAACTGCAGCCTCAAGGGATCCAATGCCCTTTTCTGGCCTCCATGAGCACTTGCACTCATGTGCCCACACCCACGCAGAGACACACATATGCACATAATTAAAAATAAAATCTTTCTTTAAAAACCCTCATTTGGGGGGCTGGAGAGATGGCTCAGCAATTAAGAACACTGGTTGTTCTTGAAGAAGACCCGGGTGCACTTACCTACATGCAGGCAATACACATAAAATTAAAAAAAATAGAATTAAAAAGAAAAAAAAAAACTCATTTTCCAGGTTAATTCAAGTATGGGTACAGAGGCGTATTTACAAAAGCAATTAGTAGCACAGAGCCTGGAAGATACAGTTGGATGTAAGTTGAGTCCTTGTCATGTACAAAGCCTGCAACATGCTTTAGAAGTTAAGATGTGAAATGAACTGTGCTTCTACCTTTAGTTTTAGTTTTGTGCAGCATTTGATAAACACCTATGTAGTACTTACCATGAACCCAGCACTGTTTGAAGCACTTTGCAGTTATTGACTTGTTGATCGTTGGGATTACTCCTGAGTCAGGCTCCTGGAGTCAGTGAGATACAGAATCAGAGCCGAATGCTTCCCTCAGCAGCAGAATCAAAGGCATATCTCACGTGTCTGTTTTCTTGTCGCCTGTCTTACAAGAGCGGATAAAGAAATACCCAAGTCAGGGCTGGAGAGTTGAGAACAGTTAAGAACAGTTAAGAGCAGTTAAGAACAGTGGCTACTCTTGCAGAGGACCCAGGTTCAATTCCCAGCACCCACTGGCAGCTAACAACCATCCATAACTTCAGTTCCAGGGGCTCTAACACCCTCTTCTGGCCTCTGTGGGCACTGCACGCACATGGTGCACTTTCATACATGCAGGCAATGTACTCATACACGTAAACTAAAAGTTAATAGATAAAAATTTTTTTCTTTTTTTATTGAATTTTTTGTGTAACTCATACAGAACAGCTCAAACATTCTTAATCATCTTTATACCTCCATCCCCACTGGCACCCTCCCATAGCCCCCACCCCCACTGGAGCCCATATACTCGGTCATCCCTGTTAAAGCCTGCTGGGTTGTCACTGTCCCCAGCCGTTTTCCAGTGCAAGTCCATCCACCAAGTCTACTCAGCCTATCTAGAGTCCCTTGTTTTAGGAAGATAAAATATTTTTTAAAAAGAAAGAACCAAGCCATTAAGTAAAAAAAAAAAAGCTTATGTTCCTGCTAACAGCCATTTTAACAACCAACCTTTACATGTAGAACTTACCATAAATGTAATTTTCAAGGCCTAATTTGTTTAAGGCATTAACAGTAATAAAAAAATAATTGGATAGTTTCCTTGAGTTTATCAAAAAAGTATCAGATTCCTATTTTTACTATAAGTAAATGAATTAGGGGGAAATAATAATGTTTTCAAAAGACATTGGTCACACTGTTACTTATTCAGCAGTCCTATCTGGTTTAGTTTGATTCGATTGAATAAATCTGCAAACTAAGTATTTCTAAGTCTGCCCTCCTTGAGTAGAAATAAATGAAGATGTAACCTGTGATCTTCACTGCTCTTGACCATATTATGGGCTTGGGGGTTTTTTGTTGGTTTGAGACAGGGTCTCGCTATGTAGCTCCAGATCGGCTGGAGCTCACTATACAAACCAGGCTGATAACAAACTCAGAGATCTACCTGCCTCTGCCTCCAGAGTGTGTAATCTTAAATTTTGAAAGACACGTGGTGACTAAACTTGAAGAGTTTGTTTGCCTGTATCTGTTTAGTAATCAGAAGCTATTATCTCATTTCTCTTGCTTTGCTTTTAACCAGTTTGTAAACTTCATGGTGACGTTTCACTCATTGAGCTCCATGTCTCTGCAGAGATTTCATCCTAATCTGAATTTACTGTGCTGATTTCTCATAGGTTCAGAGAGGATTGCTGATCTATGTGTGTTTCTTCAAGGGAGCTGATAAAGAACTTCTTCCCAAAATGGGTGCGTGCTTGATGTCTGTTTTATTACATGGACAGAGGTAGAGAGTGTCATCACAGCTCATTGTTTTGTGCAGTGGATGTAAGCTGATAACGATGACGAGAATAGGAAACGGTCAAGAAGGGTGAAAAGCACGATTTGTTTTGTTTTGTTTGAGGGGCTGGGCGTTGTCAGGGCTTTGGACATGTTAAGCAAGTGAAGCAAGTGCTCTACCAATGAGCTCTAACCTCAGTTGTTTTAGTGTTTTGTTTTGTTTGTGGTGCTAGGGATTGAACCAGGGCCAAGCACATGCTAGGCAAGTGCTCTACCACTGAACTGTGCCCTGAGCCCTTAAAGAAAAATTTTCATCCAACCCCCCAAAAAAATTTAATTTAAAAAATGCCATAATGAGTTTTTTGTAAGCTAATAAAAAATTAAACCTTTTTTTATATTGAAATAGAATCTGGCCACATTGCCCAGCTGGCCTTCAACTCATTCTCTTCCCAGGAAGGTCCTGACCTTGCAATGTTGCTGCTTCAGTCTCCAAAGCAGCTAGGATTATAGGCCCAGCTCAAGAAGCATGATCATAAATTGGCCTATATAAATGTTCCGTTCCCTCACTCTGTCCAGTGTTATTTTCTGTGGCTATTTGCCTCTTGTAAAATTTAAAGTTAGGGGTTAGAGAGATGACTCAGCAGTTAAGAGCACTGACTGATGTTGCAGAGGACCCAGATTTAGTTCCTAGCACCCACATGGTGGCTAACAGCTGTCCATAACTCCAGTTCCAGGGATCAGACACTGTCTTCTGACCTCCACAGGCATTGCACACTCAGGGTGCACTTACGTACATGCAGGCAAAACACATGTACACATAAAATAAAAATAATTTTTAAAATTTAAAGACTTCAGATATAGTGAAATTTTTTTTTAAAAGTAACTTCAAAAGGTTTACAGACTGAGAAGTGTAGACGTGATACACACATAGACAGATGTACAGAGTTGGGCCATGGATACAGAAATTTGTTGGAAGTAGGATGGCCAAATAGGGAAAAACAAGCTGCTTTTCTTTCTCTCCCAACCACCCCCGCCTTTCTGTAGTGTATATTCATTGCACAAAGTGGTGGGTTTCCTACAAGTATAATGTGATGAGGCCATAGTCTCCTCCCATAGCCTTGACTCTTGTTCCTCCTCCCAGCCTCCTCCTGGTCCCTTCCCTCTTTCCTTCAGATAAGAGTCTCTCACAGGGGCTGTTGTCAGTGCATGACAATGTATGTACAACTTGTGGGTCCAATCAAATCTGGACACTTCCTGCTGACATTATTGATATGGAAGAATTTTCATGAGTCATTTATGCAGGCTTTTTGTAGGAAATACATATAAGAAATATAATTCTGGCTCTTGAATTCTGTCTCATCACAGCCAGAGCTCCTCTGAGGACATAGAGAAAATAAATATTCAGGCATCTCAGAACAATAATTTATTCACCTGCAGCTTTCAGAATCCTGTACAGTCCATAGCTTTGCCCATTCTTAATGATAATTTCATAGGTTCCCTATGCCAAATGAAATCACATGCTATCACAAGGCAGTATATACTCCGAAATAACGAAAGTGTCCCTAAGGTTGGGGCAGTTGATAGGTTCCTCGTCAGTAAGAGACGGCACCCATTAGTTAGACTGACGAGAAATATAAGCTGGACACAGTAGCAGGTGCCTAGAGTTCCAACTACTGGGGGCGGGGGCTGAGGCAGGAGGCTCCCTTGATCCTACAGTTGTAGTCCAACCTGGCGAGCAGAGCGAGCCCTGTCACAAAAGAAGAAAGGATGTAGGAAAGTGGATAGCTAAAGCTCACAGAAGTTGATCAGGATAAGATGCAAAGAATGAAAATAAAACTCAGCGGGCAAACAGCTTCACCAAAAGCTAATGGAGGAAATTTTACACAATACATCAAGCTTGCTTGACAGCTTTGTCAAAGCATGAAAACCACCAAAGAAGGGACATGGTAGGTGCGGGTTGAAAGTTTGTAACTGTGGTAGTTTGAAATCTGAGTGTAGAAGATAATAAGGAGCCTTTGAAGGAGCGTGACTAGTTAGACCATAAAGTCTGAAGTAGCATGGCTAAAATAGAGATGCTAGAATCTTTCTCAGTTCATCTTGGGTTTGATTGTTCTAAGATTGGGGATCTGTCGGAGCTTGATTCCTGTCTGCATCACTGGAAATATTTGATAACCTCTCTTACAATCTAAGCCCAACATGCTGCTAATCATTGTCTCATTTTAATCCAACTTGCTTCTATTTCTGTTTGTTTTGTACTTTATTCCACACACTGATGTTTGTACCAGCTGGACCAGTTGAGTTCATGTGTAGCCAGTAGAGGGAGAAGTGTATCGCAGCTCATTGCCTGTGAATCCAAAATTGCCAACTTAGCCTGTCCCCAACCTGAGGTCTGGATAAGCTAGGCAGGGACTTCCATTGAAACTGAAAGGCAGTGCTCTGGAGAGTTTCCTGAAGAGCAGTCAGTGGGGCTGCTGGGTATATGGCAAAGCCCTACTTGCAATACAGAAAGTTACAAAGGCACTTAAAAATAGATGTTAGTTAAATGAAAACTGATGAGGCTTGAAGCATAATCATATCAAATCCTTAGTAATATTTAGTATGGACTGTCAGGTAATTGAAACCAACCCAACCAGAAAGTATGCTTTTTTTATGAAATAAGGTCTCACTGTGTAGCCTGGCTGGCTTGGAACTCACAGAGCTCTGCCTGCCTCTGCCTCCCGAGTGCTGGGATTAAAGGTGCGTGCCGTGCCTGCCTCGCCTGACAGTGAAAGCTTGACTTGAGAGCAGGAGTGTGAGGTTTATAGAATTTCTTTCACATTTGCCCTCCAAGGACTGTTCTTTATAAGTAGAATTCATTTTTACTTTTGTGGAAGGAGAGAACCTCAGTCTAGATATATTAGATACTTCTTTTGTTTATTGCTTTGACCTGGTTCATGTTGAGTTATATAGGCTTTCCACGTTTAGGGTTTTATCTACACTTTGATATTTATTGTGGTTTTTGACACCCACTAGCTATAAATAGTATAAATGCTATAAAGTATAATCATGTTTTTATATGTATATGAAGACAGTAACTCTGTAATTTGCTTTTTCATTTGTCACAATGAGTTTTGCCTTCATACTTCCCCCATGGGTCCTGTTTATAAAATGTTAATCTGGGGCTGGAGAGATGGTTCAGCGGTTAAGAGCACTGATTGCTCTTGCAGAGGACCCAGATTTGACTCCCAGCATCCACGTGGCGGCTAACAACCATCTTCCCAGGGGATCTGACAGCCTCTTCTGACCTCCGCCGGCATTGAAGGACACGGGTGCACCTACCTACAGGCAGGCAATACATGCATACACATAAAATAAAAACAATAAATCAATTTTTTTTAATTTATTTTTTTTATTTATTATTTTTATTTATTATGGACAGTTGTTAGCTGCCATGTGGGTGCTGAGATTCAAACCCGAGTCCTCTGTAAGAACAACTGGTGTTCTTAACCACTGAGCCATCTCTCCAGCCCCTAAATCAATATTTTTTAAATGTTGTCGATGTTAATAGTGCCTTAAATTGTGAAATTACAAAATCAGCTAGTTTATTTGATTTGAACCTGAAAGCCTGGTTCACAGCTTAAAACTTTAGGTAACTAAGTTTAAAACAATAAATGCCCAACGATTCTTTGTTATAAAGAAGAATTTAGTGTGAGGAAGACTTACGGTATTTTCCAGTGGGTTTGCTTTTGAAATAAGGAGCAGGAAACAAAATCTTCTCGTGTGTTCCCACCAGGCAACAGTATTTGAGGTTCCAGCATGCAGTTCATTCTTGGAATTTAGACTTTTCTAAACTCTAAAACTCTTTTAGAGTTTTATGTAGGTGACTTTAACTGCCAGGTCAGATTTGAAACACCTGACTTTTTTTCTTGTATGAAATTGAAATTTCAATTTGCCTTTTTGTTCATGCTTGTATTTAGTTTGGTGAAATACTTTTTTAAAACCTAGAGACTGGGTTAGGAGCAACAGCTAACAAGCTAGGTTATGGTGGGGGTTTTTTGTTTCGATTTGGTTTGGAGTCCCAGCTACCCTAAACTTATTATGTAGGCCAGGTTGGCCTTGAACTCAACTCTGCCTCCTGAGAGCTGAGATTAAAGGCGAGTGCCACCATGCCTAGCTAACAGAGCTTTAAATACAAACGTTGCTAACTAAATAAAAGATTGATGGTTTTCTTCATGTTTGTTTTTCACTCAGAGTGTTTTTTCCTTCCCCCCCCACACAGTTAATACATTGCTAAACGTGAAATTAAGTGAAACTGAAAATGGCAAGCACGTCTCTATCCTGGATCTACCTGGAGACGTTCTTATCATCCCTCAAGCCACACTTGGGGGCCGAGTGAAAGGAAGAAACATGCAGTATCACTCTAACTCCGGAAAAGAAGAGGGGTCAGCACTGTATTCCCAGTTTGTATGTCTTTGTGAAAAAGAATTGGCTGCCAACAGCAAGTGTGCTGAGGCAGGTGTTGTAGTGCAACATGGCACCTATGGGAACCGGCAAGTGTTACAGCTGGATACCCATGGCCCATACACACACCTAATTGAGTTCTGAAAAAGTCTTTCCCACATGGTTTCCTGGTATGAAATGAAGTAATGAGATTTTTCTTCCCCTTCATTTTGAATACATAGATCTGAAACCTACTTAGGCAGCTAAATCCTGCAGCCCATAAATAACTGCAGCTAATCAGACGACTGTGCCTGGTCCCCTGACCTGGGGCCTGTCGCCCTTTGTCCTACTTCCTCTGTCTTCCACTAGAAAACTTGAAAAGTGCTGTCTGTTCATAGTCATTAAGAAAATCTTAACCATATTTCAAAAATTGCATACATTTAAAATATGAAGAAATTTGTAGTCATAGAAAACGTATTTCATACTCTCAAATGTGCATGATAGGTAATAAAAATAATTATTTGTATTAAAACTGGGTAAAATCCAATGCAAACCAAGTGTAACTTTGTAAATTTCGTTTTATTATTTCAGTGTTTTGGGTTTCATTTGGTTTGTTGGTTGGTTTTTGTTATTTTCCAATACTAAGGATCAAAGTCAGAGCCTTATGCCTGCTAGGCAAGCAGAGGTGTATGAGGTTTACTGTTCTTTAACAGTATAGAAAGCTGCATGTGGTGCTGTAAGTGATAGGTAAAAAGTTAACGGAGAACGAGCTAATGGATGATGAGGCACCGAGGCACAGATAAAACTCCATCAAAATAGGGTTCATTAGCAAAGGAACACATGGGACAGATTCCCTTCCGGGCATGGAAAATGTCTGCCTGGGTCTTGAGCTGGAGTCTTTTTTAAAAGGGAGGCTTCTGCTTCTTGCAGAAGGCGGGAAGATGTATTTTTTTTTAAAGTTGGGGGAGGGGGGAGGGGGAGAGCAGGACTGTTAAAACCTGTCCTCTTTAGAGATCAAAGGGGAAGCCTGCTGTGTTGGCCAAACAGTGGAGAAAAGTCTACTTCTCTTGACTTCAAAGGCCAAGGTGCTTATCAGCTAGGTTCCCTTTTCTCAGGAGCATGAGTAGTCCTTGGGATCCTGTTGGTGAGAGGGCGGGGCTATCTGAACCTTAACAGTAAGCTTGTAGCCCAGCTGTTGGGAGGAAGAGGCGGGATGATGAGGAATTCAAAGCTATCCTCAGCTACATAGCAGGTTCAAGGCCATCCTAGATTATATGAGATCCTATCTTCAAGCAAACAAATCCCAATATTTATGAAGATATGATAGGCTACTTAAGTTTTTGAGAAAGCCATAAATTTCATGGATTTTCTGCTTATGTTATGGTGCAATGTTATATGCTTTATGTTAATTATCATGTCAATTAAAACTTTTTAAAAAAGAAATGTTGGGGATTGGGCTGCATGTAAATGCTTTAGGAAGTTCTTTTTGTGTTGAATTAGATTGCTATGAAAGGGAGCAAAAGGTAAACTTTCTACAAGAATAATTAGTTTTTAGTGGGCTTAATGATTTTTAGTCATGTTATCATTTGATGATTTGCAGCCTTTACCAGGTTTTTTGTTTTGTTTTGTTTTTGTTTTTGTTGTTGAGACAGAATCTCAGGTAGTCCAGGCTGATCTCAAACTCAAAGATGACCTTGAACTTCCAAGTACTGGTGTGTATCACCAGGCCTGGCTCACTGCCAGTTTTTCTATTGGGGAATGCTATGTCCTGAACATTTGTGCCCTCCCCAAACTCATCTGTGGAAACCCTAATCCCTTGTGTGGCAGTATTTGGAGAGGAGACATTTGGGAAGGCATAAGGTTATGGATGAAGTGCTGTGTGTGGGCTCTCATGATGGGATTAGAGAGCTCACAGAGCTCTTCCCATACTGTGAGGACACAGTGAGAAGGTGACCACCTACAAGCCAGAAAGAGCACTCTCTAGAAACCATGCTGATACATTGATTGTGAACACCTAGCCTCCAGAGCTGTGAGAAAATCAAATTCTGTTGTTTGAGCCACTGAATCAATGATATTTTGCTATGACCCTGACCTGGGTGAGACAGTGATGTAAGACAGATGGCTGCATGATGAACTTTTCAGACAAGAGAGGAAATATATAAGAAATTGCTACAATAAATTAAATGAGTCCTTTGTAAAATGCAGTACCGATTTTTGCAAACTCCTCTGACTTGATGTAAGAAAACAATACAAAGAATCAATGAATCTAAGAGCTGGTTCTTTGATGTTAAAGCATGTTTTTTTTTAAACAATTTTTTTTATTTTTATTTTCTGTATGCGTGTATTGCCTGCATGTAGGTCAGTGCACCCATGTTGTGCAGTACCCTTGTAGGTCAGAAGAGGTGTCAGATCCCCTGGGACTGGAGTTACGGACAGTTGTTAGCTGCCATGTGGGTGCTGGGATTCAAACCTGGGTCTTCTGCAAGAAGAGTCAGTGTTCTTAACCACTGGAGCCATCTCTCCAGTCCTAAAGCATGTTTTTAAAGGATGTAGTTTAAGTGAAAACTACCTATTTCTGATTACCAAAAAGATGAAGAAATTAAACATAATTGTCCTCATGTCTCATAATTTCTTATTTCTGTCTTCTAACACACTCACAAAATCCCATTTTCTGTCTCCCTTTCCTGTACTGTTCTATTTTGGAACCAAAGAATCAATAGCTGTCTTGGTCATGAGCTCACCATCTTAAATCTTTTGATTTTTTTTTTTTTTTTTTTTTTTTTTTTTTTTTTTTTTTTTTACTTCCAGCAGCCCCAGCTGGCCTGGAACTCATTATGTAGACCAGGCTGGCCTTGAACTCACAGAGATCCGCCTGCCTCTGCCTCCTGAGTGCTGGGATTAAAGGCGTGTGCCACCATGCCTGGCAATTTTGATTTTATGCTTAGTTAAAGTGCTGACTCATAGCCTAAGATGTTGCTGTTTTATATAGCTCAAGTAATTCTCTATAAAAATTTTGCCTGAGTTGCTTGTAGAGCGCAGCACTTCAAGTACGGGAAAGGTTATTAATTAGAAAATGGGTACTAGAGAGATGGCTCAGTGGTTAAGAGCACTGGCCACTCTTACGGAGGACCTGGGTTCGATTCCCAGCACCCATGTGGTAGCCAATAAGCCATCCATAACTCCACTTCCAGGGGATCCGCGCCCTCTTCTGACCCCAACAGGCATTGCACAACATGGGTGAACTCATATACATGCAGGCAATACGCTCATGCACGTAAAATAAAAAATAATAAAATTTTTTTTAAGAAAATGATGGTGTTGAGGGGCAGGGAGTAAGAGAGAGAATGGGTTGGAAAATGACTTCACCTTAGCTTGGTAGTTCTTTCTGCCCCAGGGACTCAAAAACCCATCAATATGCAATGTATTTTATCTTCATATTATGTATAATGAGGATAACACTCACTCTGAGGAAAGACAATCTTACATAATTTTCTCTAAGGCTAATGAAATAATTCCCATCCTCTCTTTTGTTATAGTGAGACCTGTTGAAATTGAATTTGATAAAGGCTTAGCGTCTCTTAGTAGCCAATAAATTGGTCAATTTACTAAATTAGGTGCAAGTAGGATTTTACTTCACTTTATACCTCAGTTTTTCTAAGGTTTTAGAATGCTTCAAATAACATGGTTCCTAAATATTTTTATCTTTCAATTAAGAAACCTGGATCCACATATAGAAAATACAACAGATGTGGTTTTAATGTCTTGAAACATGAATATAAAGTAAAATGAGGGGCTGTAGAGATGGCTAGCAGTTAAAAGCAGTTGCTCCTCCAAAAGACTCAAAATCAATTCCCAGTGCCCACATTAGGTGGCTCACAACCCCCTGTTACTCCAGCTCCAGGGAATCCAGTGCCTTCTGGACTCTACAGGTACCTGCACTCACGTCCACATACCCCACACACAGATACACATGTACAGAATTTTTAGAATAAATGTTTCTTAAATTAAAATGAAGCACACCTTTACCATCCCCTCATTAGTTGAAATCGTGAAGGGAGGTGTGCCATCACAGAGGCTCCCCGTAGAGGGCATCAGCTACACCCCATATCCTGTGTAGTCCCTTCCCTAAGCTGCCAAACTTCTAGCATTTTGCATTCCCAGGGTAGAGTTTGCTTCCTAAATTACAGTTTTATATTCTACTTAGTACCTTCACTAATCTTCTAAAGTCAGACGCTTACCTCTAAGCTCAGAGACCCTGCCCCTCAAAAGCCCCTAAATGTAAGAACTTCCTTTGTTCTACAGGTAGTTGGGTTTCCTATCCCAGCTTCCCCCGCTGTATATTATGAATAGTATCTATACTGATGAGTTATTGGATCCATGGTGAAAGAATTAAAGTTACCAAATGTCAAAATCAAATACTATAGCATTCAATGCCACTTTCTTTGGAGAATAAGAGCCATACTGGTCTTATAAGAGAATAATATGTCAGACTTTTACTCTCAATGACTAACATTGCAGAGGACATGGTATGTTAAGGCTACATTTGTACAACAAAAAACATGGTAAACTGTAATGTATTCGTGAGGCAGGTAGCCACAGGAGATAGTCTAGCTTGGTACTCCATTTGATTTTGGTTATTCGCACACACACACACACCTTGTAATCATGCTTTTGCAGACTAGGTCCTTAACCTACACATACTGTGCTCACACAACCCTCTCTCAGCAATTCTCCTAGCAGCCCCATAATTTGATAGAACCCCCACCTGTACTCCTGTCTCTGAACAATAGTCTACATTGCCACACCCCTAGTACTAATCAAATTTAGATAGTTTCTATTCAAGTGCATCCCCAATGTATCATCGTAGGAAGAATAGAAGGGCTGATCTGACTTGAACTAATTTTGGAATCATGAGCAGTAAAGCAACACTGTATCATCTGTAAACTTTTAGGAATAGTCCCTTATTTACCAGTTTATGCCTATGCATAATTGGGCATATTTATGATTAAAATCAGATGCACTATGGTTGGTAGCCACCATGTGGGTGCTGGGACATGGGTGGTAGAAAAATTAAATATATGACCTAATCTATCAATTGAAATAGAGAGCCACTCACACTTTGCCCCTTAGTAATTAAATTATCCTTCTCTTGGACCCTGTAAAAGGACATACAGAACAATAATTGGGGCCTTGAGTACACTTACGTGGCCCACTGTCAATCTTGATGGTGTGTCCCATATAAACTGTACTAACCTTTTGCTCTGAATAAAGCTATCTTGCTTCTTTGGCAAATATATATGTGTCTTATTGTCAATTATTTTTTAAATATTTATGGAGCTGGAGAGATGACTCAGCAGTTAAGAGCACTGGCTGCTCTTGCAGAGGACCCAGGTTCGATTCCTGGCACCCACATGGTGGCTAACAACCGTCCGTAACTCCAGTTCTAGGGGAATTTGACACTCTTTTCTGATCTCTGTGGGCATTGCACAACACAGGTGCACTTACATACATGCAGTAAATACACTC